TTTTAGAGTTTAGGGTTGGGGCTTTCGGCTTGAGGGTGTAATGTAACGTAGCCGGGGCATTATAATAATGAATAGAACGTAGGTTTGGGGTATATTGTACTATAATTACAATAATGTAAGGGCCTTAATAATTAGATAGATAGATTGATTGATAGATAGATAGATAGATAGAAAGGTGTTTGGCGGCCTTAATAATTACAATAGGGTTTTGGGGGTGATGCAGGTGAAAGCCTGTCGACGAAGCGCGAAACAAAGGACGGGTTTGGGGTATATTGTGCTAGAACTATCATAAGGACCCCTCTCAAAATAGTAGAGGTAATTACAAAAGCCCCTAAATTAGGGTTACCGGTTTGAGGTTTAGGCTTATCGGCTTGGGGCTTAGGGTTGGAAGCCCTAAACCCTAAACCCTAAACCCTAAACCCTAAACAACATCGAGCTTTGGCTTCTCTGAGGCAGGTCGCAGCTTCACGAGGGTGGCTTCGTGCTTCTTGTCCTGGCAAGTCGGACGGACGGAACATGGGAGTTTAGGGCTTAGGGTTTAGGGTTTAGGGTTTAGGGTTTAAGGTTTAAGGTTTAGGGTTTAGGGTTTAGGGTCTACGTTTAATGCTTAAGGTGTGGGGATTGGGACCCCGAACCCAGGGCCAGGGAATTGTTCAGCAGTACAAGGGCCACAGGCCCAGCAACCGAAGGCCGAAGTTGTTACTGGCAAGGAGTGAATCGGACACCCTGTGCTTTCCGTCTGACGGTTGCTGAGGTGCATAGTAGTATAAAGATTACTCGTACCCCTCTCTGCCAGATTCGTCAGTACCTGGGACCCTCTTGAACGACACGCGCGCAGGGCGACAACCTCCCTTCAAGGTCAAAGACTTGGAGGCATGACTGAGCATAACATCCAACAGAATTACATGACCTGCCGGTAGACCAAGCCGTGTGGCTATGAAAAGATTGCGATGCAAGTCATGCGAGAAGGCCAAGGTAGCGAGCTTCGAGAGAAGCGTGGAGCAGCAGGCGATAAACCAAGGAGTCACTCCAGCCGTGAACTTGGCCAGAAACACAGCGGCACTCCATACTTCTGAATGGCCTTACGGCCGAATATCACATCTACCATCTTCCATGATGTATCTCCGGGTCTGCTCTGGCGACTCTGGTGCCAACAGCCCCCAAATGTACAGGACACCATGGTACGCGGTTAAGAATGCAATGCAACCAACTTCCACCGACAGGGTGAACGTGGCTCCTAAGCTTCAAAATCCAAGATTGTCCCTAAACCCTGAACCCTAAACCCTAAACCTAAACCCCAAACCCTAAACCCTAAACCCAAACCCCTAAACCCTAAACCCTGAACCCTAAGCCTCAAACCCTACGCCGAAACCTTCGCAGTTCGTTACTCACCGACGTGCCCTGCCTTGAGGCCCAAGGTGGCCTCGCAGAACTCTCCGGCTGCAACCTCGTTCGCGACCTCTGGGCATCGGCCGATTAGGGTTTAGGGTTTAGGGTTTAGGGTGTAGGGTTTAGGGTTTAGGGTTTAGGGTTTAGGGTTTAGGGTTTGAGTGTGCACCGAGGCATCGCGATAACCTAGTCTTAGGTAGTTAAAGAGAAATGTAGACATATCGGTTTAGGGTTTAGGGTTTAGGGTTTACGGTTCAGGGCCTAGGGTAACCACAACATGGACACTTCATGCAGACTTATGGAAACTGTCATAAGTGCAAGCTTCAGGTCTTCTACTACAGGTAGAGTCGTCCTGCCACGATCCTAGACCCCCTAAATACTAAACCCTAAACCCTAAACCATTTGACTCGAAACACAGAAAACCCAAGCCGTTTGAGACCTAAACCCCCTAGACCCCTCGAATCTCACACCCTGAACCTGAATAAAACCCTTACACAGCCCTTCAAGGAACCCTTCAAGGAACCACCTAAACCCTGAAGCCCTAAACCAAACCGTAATAGAATCCTCCTAGATCCCTTGTAGAACACTGAAATAACACGAGAAGGATCCCGTAAGAAGCCCTAAACCCTGAAGCACTAGATTCACTAGATCCTTCGTAGGACCTGAAAAGAAACCCTTGAACAAACCCTCGAAGGAACCCGCTAAAACCCTAAACCCTAAAGCCTAAACGGCCCTTAACCCCAAATCTTAAAGCCGAAACCCTAAACCCTAAACCCTAAACCCTAAACCCTAAACCCTAAAGCCTAAACCCTGACCCTAAAGCCGCAAGCCTATAGCCCTGTTAACAAGAACCCAGAAGATCATCCTCGGGCTCCAGCGTTGGCGCCCATGAGGACACCGACCTGGCCCCGAGGGGCTTTGAAGACTCAGTAGTGGGTTTTAGGGTTTTAGGGTTTAGTGTTTAGTGGTTTAGGGTTATGATATTAGGGGCCTTAATAGTTAGAATAGGGTTTTGGGGTGCATCATTGCATACTTATATATAGTACGGAACCCCTAAGTATTGAGGCCCCTACATTAGTGGGTCTTAGGGTTTAGGGGCTTCGGGGTTCAGGGTTTTTAAGGGGTTGTAGGGGCTTTAAGGTTCAGGGACTCAGGGGTTTAGGGTCTTTAGGGTGAAGGGCTCTTTAGGGTGATTTTTTTGGGGGGACCAAGAGTTTAGAGGTTTAAGGGCTTAAGAGTTTACGGGTGTAGGGATTCACGGTTTAGGGATCAGGTTTAGGGTTCAGGGGCTACCGTGAAGGTTCATAGCGTTCTGTAGTGGGCTTCTAAGGGCCGCAAGAGCTTTACAGAGTCATAGAAAGATATATCTGTCCTTTCAATACGGAGTGTCTTCAAACACTAAGGCTGATTCAGGGCTCAGGGCTTAGGCCCATAACCCAAAACTGGTGGGGTTTAGGGTTTAGGGTTTAAGCCCATAACCTCAAACTGGTGGGGTTTAGGGTTTAGGGTTTAGACCCCAAACCCAAAACTGGTGGGGTTTCTGATGTTCAGAGTGTGTGGTTTAGGGGGGGCCCAGGGTAGAAGTCTGCTAGATTTTAACGTTAAGAGCTCAGACCTAAACCCCCCCAAAAGCCGGAAAAGTCATGTCCCAACACCTACACCCTAGATCCTAAACCCTA